TGAAAGCCCCATATCAGAATGTAAACAGAACTTGAGAAATTCCTCCAGCCCTTCTGAAAGTCCCCTAGACCAGCCTATAAAAAACCCAGCTGTAACCCACTTCAGGGTCCAAGTCCCTGCTCCACTGTGTCGGGTATACTTGGACCCAAGCTCGAGCTTGCTAATAAACCCTCGAGTGCTTGCATTGGTGTTGGCTCATTGGTGGTTTCTCGGATTCGCAATCTTGGGCACAACACTCCCTGCATAGAGCCTGCTTCTCCCTCTGCCTGTGTCTCTGCCTCTATTTCTCTCTCTGTCTGTCATAAATAAATAATTAAAATCTTAAAAATAATAATAAATGAAGAAATTAAGCCATATTCAAACAAAAATTGAGAGAATTTGTCATCAGTAGACAGGCCCTATAAGAAATACTAACATGAATCCTTCAAGATGATGATAAAAGACAGTAAGCAGTCACAAAACCACACAAAGATAAAGAGCATGGGTAAATGTATCAACATAGGTAAATATGAAAGACAGTATAAATGTATTTTTTCTTTATAATTTTTATTCTATATGATTTAAAAGATAACTGCATAATAAAGCAAGAGTTATAAAACTGTGATGGTAGGCTTACATTGTACAGAGATGTAATTTGATTGGCAATAATAGCACAAAGAAGGAGGGAGGTAGCAGGCCTTTAGTTAGCCTGATGCGATCCCCCAAAAAAGATGTAACTATGTTGGAGAAAAATTGTTGTATACTATTGAAATTAGTTGACGTTAATCCTAATAACATAGTCTTTAAATTAAGATGTTAATTATAATCTCCATGGTAGCCACTTAGCAAAAATCTTTATGAAAGTATAAGAAACAAGAGATTTTAAATGGCACTCTATAAAATATTCAGTACAAAAAAATCAGTAATAGAATACAGGGACAAAAGAGAGATAACACGTGGAGGAAGCAAATAGAAAATGGCAGATTTAATCCTACATTATCAGTAATTATAATAATCACAAATGTATTTAACATCCATTCAGAAGGTGGAGATTGGAAAATGGATTAAAGAAAACAGTCCTAACATATACTGTCTAGAAAAGATACTTTGCATTTAAAGCAAAATGGTTGAAAGCTAAAAAGATGTAAAAAAATATAACAAGAAAAAGCAACCATAGGGCAACTGAAGTTGCTCTCATGCAAAATAGTCTTTAAAACAAATAAAAAATGTTACTGGAGATAAACGGATATTTTATGAAAAAAGAGCCCATACACCAAGAGATATAACCATAAACATATAAATATATAGGTTTATAAACCATAAACATATAAGTACCTAATAACAGAGCTCAAAATACATTTAAAAATAACTGAAAGAACTGAAGTTAGAAATATATTATCCAACAATAAAAAGTTAAGAGACTTCAGTGGCCCTCAATGAAGAAAAAGATCAAACTTAAATAATAAAGGACTTGAAAGACACAGACTGCTATAGTACATTACTCAACACCAACACTATCTTCTCAAGTACCTGTGGAACATTTTCCAGGATAGACCTAAGCTAGGCTCTGGGATAGACCACAAAGAAGACTCAATAAGTTTAAAATGGTTGAAACCATACAAAGTAAGCTTTCTAATCACACAAAGTATGTACAATGGAATCAAGTTAAAAATTAAAAACAGAAGGAATTTAAGGAAGTTTTCAAATATGTAGAAATTAAGCAATATCTTCCTAAATAACCAATGTATTGAAGAGAAAAATCACATGGGAAATTAGAAAATACTTTGAGGGATGCCTGAGTGGCTCAGTGATTGAGCATTTGCCTTCAGCTCGGGTCCTGATCCCGGAGTCCTGGGATCAAGTCCCACATCAGGCTCCCCAGAGGGAGACTGCTTCTCCCTCTGCCTATGTCTCTGCCTCATTCTGTGTGTCTCTCATGAATAAATAAATAAAATCTTTTTTTAAAAAAAGAAAATACTTTGAGATGAATGAAAAAGAAAACAAAACTTGCCCACCTTATTGGATACCATTTATTTATTTATTTATTTATTTATTTATTTATTTATTTATTCTTTTTTTAATAATAAATTTATTTTTTATTGGTGTTCAATTTGCCAACATACAGAATAACACCCAGTGCTCATCCCATCAAGTGCCCCCCTCAGTGCCCATCATCCATTCACCTCCAACCCCCGCCCTCCTCCCCTTCCACCAACCCTAGTTCGTTTCCCAGAGTTAGGAGTCTTCATGTTCTGTCTCCCTTTCTGATATTTCCTACCCATTTCTTCTCCCTTCCCTTCTATTCCCTTTCACTATTATTTATATTCCCCAAATGAATGAGACCATATAATGTTTGTCCTTCTCCGATTGACTTATTTCACTCAGCATAATACCCTCCAGTTCCATATTGGATACCATTTAGAGTGGTATTTAAAGGTAAATCCATAACTGTAAATGCCTATATTAAAAAAAGGAAAATCTCAAATCAATAGTTTAACTTATCACCCTAAAAATCTAGAAAAATCTGAATATACTAGACCCAAAACAAGGATAGGGATGGAAATAATAAAGATTAAATGAGAATAAATGAAAGAGACTAGAAACACAATAGGGAAATAAACCATTGAATCCAAAAGCTAGTTCTTTGAGAATATCAACACAATTGATAGACCTTTAGTTAGACGAATCCCATGCCAAAACATGAAATGTTCAAATTACTAAAATTAGAAATCAAAGAGAAGATGTCACTACCAACCTCATGGGAACAAAAAAGAATTCTATGAGAATACTGGTCAAACAATAATGGTTTACTTTTAATCAGTGGCAAAACTCCCTAAAGCACAAGTCTCAACATATGTGCAAATGTACAGAGGTGTGAATTTGTGATTTCAGACATAAAGCAGTTTTAGAATCATCTGAAAGGCTAAGCTGTGGTTGTTGGATTGGATGACTAAAACGAAGGGAAAGTCACTGGAAGTGAGGAAGTCGAGAAACTGAAATGTATAGGCATTGGAAGAGTCATACACGAGGGCTTTGAAATTCTGTAAAATAATGGCAGGACTTAGGCTGAAGAGAAACACTGTAAAGTAGATGCCAAGTCTTCCTTTTAAGGAGATAACTGAACAGGCAGCTATATGAGATCAATGTGGGGACAGAGAGTTTTAAGTAAGAAAGGATTGAACCTCCAAAGGATCGGAGAAGTAATGAAGTGGTAGTAGAGAAGCAGCAAATCCCTAACCTTAGCTCACCAGAGAGCAAGCTAGGCTGGCCTGATTCTGCCATGGATTCAAAACTGTATGGAAGATTTCACAGCCAGAAATCTAACACAGTCGTATGAAGCTTGGTCTGCAATTGCTACCTGTCAGGAAATCAAACATGAAAACAGATGGTTTTCTGCAATTCTTTCCTTTTCTACTTACAAGAGGGAAATTATGGCAGGTAATAGTTGAGTAATTGAGCCCAAACCTATTTGTTTTTCACATAGGGCATTTGGAACCCAAGATTTGTAATGCCACCAATGTCATATTGCATCATAAGTTAATGATGCATACTCCATTGCATTCTAACAATGATATAAAGGCAATCTACATTAAGACAAAGCACATACACACACAGATATATGCACACACGCAGGTATAAATAATTATAGATATATTTATAACAATAGATATAGATAATTTACAGTTCTGTTCATTTATAGAAGGGCCTATTTTTCAAGTTACAAAATAAAAGATCATATATTCTGTTCAAATAGAACAGAACCTTCTCTGCAGAGAGGTCATGTAGTAAAGAGCAAGGATAAAACACCACAACTGAGGTGAACTGAGACATACTCTTGACAAGTTAGGAACACTGAGTAAGCCATTACTTACCTGCTTTTAGTTCTCTCCTGAAATGGTTTTATTTAAAATTCCCTCAAATGTTAACTCAAATTCACTTGTGATTTTATTTTACAACTAGACATATATTTAGTATATGAAGCAAATTACCTATTACTTTATTCCTTTAATGTTACAATACCATGTATGTTTTATATATGTATTTTATACATTGTACACTTAAGAACATCAAGATGGTTCTATGAAAATATAGTCCTGTTTTCATTCTTCCTGCTTACTAAGCTTGTTTCTCCTTCTCTCTCCATGTAACAACCCCCACACACTTAAAGTCTTAGCATACTAATTGAAGTGGGATATTTTATAGGGGTCTCAATTCCACTAGATAGTGATTATTATCACATCTTAATTATTTTTTAGATGAATCCTTAATTTAGAGTACTTTCCAATGCCCCTAGTCATAACAAGATGATAAATATTTGTATTTACCACTTATTTCCTATACTACTAACTCTTACCATGCTGGTTGTTAAATGATAAACATTCCAAGATGGGCATGTATGGTCACTACACACACTTCTTTTTTAAAGGGAGGTAAGGAAATAGTTTGGAATTCAGGTTTTTTTTTCATGGATTAAATAGTGCATAAAAACCTAGCAACTTTGGAAGAAATCCAGCTCATTTTTGCTTTAATGCACCCAGAAGATTTCAAATCAATATTTAGCATTAACGTTTTAATTGAAAATTAACATCGCCATAATTGGAAGTGAGGATCAGCATCCTGATGTTTAGGAGAGGGCTATTTCGTTGGGAAGGTCATTACACTGGAGAGCACAAATGTTGGATGAGGAAAACACAAATCTTTTGTTTCCTTGAGCAAGGACACACAGTAAACACTTGAACTGGTGGTCAACTATAATTCGCTTCCAGAGCCACTACTCTGGCAACACTACAGTTTGGATTTATAGCAGAGCACTAAGTAGCAGTGACTTTGAAAGCAAAGTATAAAAAGGACCAAGAAAAAAGTTGCTAGTTGTTAAAGATCTACTCCTCATTACAAGGACTTGAAGATTTCCCCGTCAACCTTCAACAAGAGCAGGATAAACTCTTGTTGCTATTCTCGGCATGCCCTCAGCTGTTTTTCCTAAATAATTAATCCTCCAGGAAACCAATGATATTTGAATGTGGGTTATCAACAGTTCTTTATTTTTTGGCTGGAAAGTTCAAAGCAATATATGTCCAACCTGCACAATGTAGACAGTTTCCTTTCCATGTTGGTTAAATTTTTTTTTTAATTGTATTGTTTTCTGTCTGCTTCCAACGCCTTAGAAGTTCAACCACTTTAATAAATGCCCAGGAATCAGCTCAGGGAAGTAACTCTCCCCAGTAGGATCCCGGCCCCCAGGACCACCATAGGGCACTTCCACTTGTCCCCACCTCTTCCATCTTCAGGGAATGAGTGTCCAATTCAGATGTGGCTCCTCAGTGGAGTAGAGGGAATTTGGGGGAAGGGGATTTTCTATAAGAATAGTCAGTCGCATAAATAAGTTCCTCTTCTTTTCCCTTTTCATTGAAAGTGAAAAACTCTGCTCAGAAGAAGTGCCCATTGTCCCGGTCCCCTATGTGTCACCAGAGCCAAGAGAGGACTCTGTCAGCGAGGCGCCCTCCGCCCTGTCCCGCAGACCACAGTCCCCCACCTTCACCCCATTGTCTGTGCACTGTGCAGAACTGGAACGCAGAGCAGCGGCTTCGGTATCACTCTCCATGCCCGGCTGGGCCAAAGGCCCCTTTCTTGGCTGGGGGGAAGGGCTTTTGTGGAAGCAGAGTTTGAAAAGCCCCAGCACTGTCATGGTCAAGATAACCAACACCACCACCGCTATGCTCACAAGTATGAAGACCACGGTGGAGGAGGAGTCGAAAGCTTGGGGAATGGCAGAGGAAGACGTGGAATTAAACTTGGGAATCACGCTTCCCGGAGAGGTGACGGTGGCCTTTGAATTGGCTTGAGGGGACATCCGAAGGGTAGACATCGTGCTCTGTGCTCCCCACCGAGGAGTCCCGGGAAGAGATGTTGCAGAACTGCCTTGTCCTGGGGCATGGGGTACCTCTCCTGGCTTCTCGTGTACCGTGGGTGACCACGTTTTCTTCGGGACGGGGCTGGCCGCAGTGGCAGGCCTGGCGGGCACCTTGGTCCCCTCAGGGGCCGCCTGTCCTTCCCCACTGGGTACACAAGAGCGTCGGTCTTTGCCCAGCACGAAGCCCGCCGCGCACTCGCAGGCAAAGCCTCCAGAGTCGTCTAGGCAGTCAGGGAGCTCCGCGCACTTGCCGGCACGGAGGTACCTCCCGGGGCAGGGACAGAGCACAGCCCCGGGGGCTATCCCGTCCCAGCGCGCGCCGACCTCGTCGGCGAGGCAGGTGGCTCTGACGGAGAGCTGCCCGGGGCAGAGCGCACTCACCTGGGTCCCTGGGGGACTGAAGTCCAGCGCCGCGCTGTGCAGCTGGAAGGGCGCGCGGTAGCTCAAGTTAGAGGCGGCCCCGGGGCGCGGCGCCGGGCACAAGCCCTCAAACTGGTATTTGCACAGGTAGCCGTTGGCGCGCGAGTGGCATCGCATCTCCTTCCAGCCTGCGGGCTCGACCCCCCGGGTGGCCTGGAGTCCCGCGCAACTCCGAGAGGTGCAGGAGCGTTGGGGCTCCTCCACCCACTGCAGCGTGTCGCTTTCGGACCCGCTGACGTCGGGGGACAGCCAGGAGAAGCCCCGCAACGGCTCGTCCTCCAGGGTGCAGTGGGATCGCCCGCGTTCCAGCGCCACCCAGAACAGAAGGTCCTTGGAGCCCCCTCCGGGCCCCGGGCCTGCCCGCAGGAGCGCGAGCACCGCCCGGAGCTCGGCGCCCCCGCGCACTGTGCTGAGCGCCCCGCCGCGCAGACTGCAGGCCTCCTCGGCCGCCAGCCTCTTGATGGTAGCGTGGTGCAGGCTGTAGCAGGCCCCCGAGGCCGAGCAGCCCGCGCGGTCGGCCGTGGGGTGCTCGCCCCCGCCGGGCCGAGGCCAGAACGCCTGCCAGAGGAGACACAGGGCGAGCGCCGGCCTCATCTTGGAGGCCCCGCTCCCACAGCTGTTCCCACCTCGGTTTGGCTCTGTCCCGCCCGAGGGCGCGGAGCTGTCCCGAGAGCGCGGTCACCGCCCCCTACAGCTGGCTCTCCCCCGCCTCCCCCGCCCCACTCCCGCCGGGGCCCTCAACTGCCAAGATTCCCCAGCACCGTCCTGGCGGCAAACGGCTTCCCTTAGGCCGCGGCAGGAAATGTGTTCGGAGCTGTGCCAGGCCCCGCGCAGCCCTGAGTTACTCTGGGGTCAAGGACACAGCTGGCGCCGGGGTGCGGGGTACACAGTCGACCAGGCCAAACACCCTGCTTAGAGCAGGAGAAGAAGAAAGAAAGTCGCTCGCTACTGGGAAGAAACGTATTAAGCCCCCCCCCCCCCATTCGAAAGTTTCAGGAGCTCAGATCCCAAAACGCTTAGGTGAACGTTGACAGGAAGGACTGGAAAAGAGGAACTCGCGGACAGCCCACGCCCGCCCATTGTGTTTCGTCCGGGCCAGTCGCCTCGGCTTACAGCAACGTGCAGACGGCTGCAGGCTTCATCAGGCGGGAGGCTGGGGCGAGGGGGAAAGAATCTGGTGGGAAATCTAAGTCTGTCCCTTCGCCGCCGCCGGAGGCAGCACCATTTGGGCGCCAGTCTCCTGCTCTCTGCTTCTCTGTTCCGTCAAAGGAGATTCCTGGGGGCTAATTGCTAGTCTAAGAATTTAGAGCTCCTTTTGCGTTATCTTAAATGGGTAAATCCTGCGTCTTCAGTCAGAGCTTGCTTTAAAGTTTCTTTTTTGCTTCCGTTCGTTTCTCCCTGAAAGGGCCATATGGGTTCACTCAGGAAAGGAAATGTACTTCTAGGCCCAAATGAAAAATAATGGCCATCGATCTTAACTGTTGCATACTTAGGTTTCCTTACCACTGTGTTGCTTCATGACTTCTTCAAGCTTATAGGTTATAGAAAAATGAGATCGTGGCCTGATTAATGTTTGAGAACAACTACCCCATGTGTGACTTTATCCTTGAACTCTTTAAATATCATTTTCTCCTGTGATTGAGTGCCGATATTTGTATCGGTGAATTGTAAAAGTCCCCTTGAAGGGACACTAGAGTTCAATGTTCTTAAGAAATTAAATTATTTATTACTTTCTAATGCATATTATATACCGTAAACAAAAAATACCCCCTCATCTAAGAGTCCATTTCTTCAGCGTTCCAATTTTTAAAAAATATGCACAGCTCAACTGGAAGTGGGGAAGAATTAAAGATGAGTAAATGAAGACCAGCTTAAACACTGCACTGTCTATGGAAAGATTTTCTTGTTAGCAATTTAGGCAATTCTGTATCATTTTAGGAAATGCATTATCTACCTTGGCTCACAGCAACCAAATATATTGCAATAAAAGTACAGAGTTTCAACTAAGCTCACTTAACATGCATGATGCTCTTAAATACCTACAATCAGAATGAAAGTTGCCATTCCATGAATAACGCATACCACACTTTTAAACTCACTTTCTTATGCTGGATTAGACGGTTCAGATTAGTGAGAAAGGGTAGGAAGGAAGGTCTCAGGATCACTTCTGTATGTCCCCACCTCCTTTTTACCACTGCTCTCACTCTTCTTTTCCTCTTGGAAATTCTATGTATGTTAACAAATGATAGTAAATACATGGATCATTATCACGCTTACCTTGCTTTTGCTGATGTGTTTCGCAGCAGGATTTCTCTACTACCCGTGCTGATTTCCAATTTAAAGGACATTCATTAGTCCTTCATTTCAGATGGCCATGTCACCTTAAACATGACTTTGCATTTGAATTAAGTAACTAAATGTCTTATGAGAGTGGAACATGAACATCTAGAAATCTAATTGAACGGATTTTAAAAATACTTCATCATGTGGGCAACTCTATAGACTTTGCAATCAAATGACTCTGTGTTCATAAATGTGTCCATGTAGCACTATGTATTTTAATAAAATAAAACCTTTTATAAACCTAAGTAGACAATGGAAATCTCTCAGATATTTTTTTTAAATCACTTGGGATGAGGTGAAGCTTCTAGAATCAGAAAGAATGAATGACTGGAGAGCTTATAGCAAATACATGATCTCACTCCCTGGCATTTTGCCATTCAAGAGGTGGGATAACAGAAGAGAACATTGTGGCCAAAATAACTGCATGGCAGCCCTGGCCATGCCTGCAGTAACATGAGAGGAGAGTTACAAAAAATAAATAAATAACTCAAAGTAAGACATAGGTAAGTTTGTAATTCATTACTTTGTATCAGTCTATATGCCAATACCGTATTTTGAAATGTATAGTATTCCTGAAAAAAAAAAACAAACAGAAATGAAGGAATGTTTTTATTTAAAAATGATGTTTATTAAGAGCATAATAGGATACCATTTTACCTCCACTGGATGCCAAATATTTAAACAAAATTTAAATATTTTATTTATTTATTCATGAGAGGCACAGAAAGAGGCAGAGACATCGGCAGAGGGAGAAGCAGGCTCCATGCAGGGATCCCAATGTGGGACTCGATCCCCAACCCCCAGGATCATGCTCTGAGCCAAAGGCAGGTGCTCAAATGCTGAGCCACCCAGGAGTCCCTAAATATTTAAAACTTTGATAATAGCAAGTGTGGATTCACAGGTTCTTTTATATATTACAGATGAGAGCAGCAAACTTTGGAAAACCTTGGCATTTTTTTTTCTTAAAATCTTACATTCTCTATACCCCAGTGCCCAGGTATATTCTCAACAGAAACTCTTGCACATGAATAAGAGAAGGTATGTAAGAGGATATTTATAGCAGCACTATTCATATTAGCAGAAACCAGAATGACTCCAAATGTCTAGCAACTGATGGTAGATCAATAAACCATGATACATTCACTCAATGAAAATATATAGCAATGGAAATGAATAAACTATAGCAGCAAGTAACCATGTGAATTAATCTTATTGATACAATACTAACTGACAAAAGTGCCAAAAGATTGTACATTTATAAATTAAAAAAAACTACTAAATATGTATATTTGTGCATATTTTAGGAAAAATTGTTATAATGGGATAAAAGGAATAATGAGTATAAGATTCCGAGTGATGGGTCCTTTGGGTGAGAGAGAAGAGGGGGATGGATTGGTTGCGGAAACAGGATTTGATTAGAGCTGTTGTTATAGTCTCAGCTTTTGCTTTCCATAGTGACTTCGTGTATGACTATTGCATTATTAAACATAAATAATTAAGTAATTAACAAAATAAACTAATATGGCTATATTCAGACAAATGAAAGAATGACATGATTCAAAAATTATAGTTAGTCTGATTCTGGACATCTGAATTTCAAAATGTAAAATAAAAATAAAGTCAAGATGTTAGTTACATTTTCAAAATGTGTTTTTTGACCCCCATAGTCTTTTGCAGATAACACATTTTTAAAATTAAATTTGAAATTATTATTATTATTATCTGAAAAAGATAATTATTATCTGAAAAAGATATTATTATTAACCTGAAATTATTAATATTATTATTAATTATTAATCTGAAAAAGAATATTAATTATTAATCTGAAAAAGAATGATAAATAAAATATTTTCCCAATGTTTCTATACCTTTCATACAACCTTTGTATTATCAGTAAGGATCATATATGGTATTTATTGGTTCATTCATTTTAACAATGCCATCCAAAGAACTAAAGAGAATATATGAGGAGAAGAGTAAGTTTAGGCCAATATTATCAATTTTATTTAATTTAAAATATCTGAAACAAAAATATAGATAAAATTTCATTAATCACATCTTAAGTAGTCTCATAAATTTATAAAGTTGCTGATCCTCACTAAATAAATTCTGTAACTGTAAAAAAAAAACAACGTCTGGGTCTTAGCATATTTTTCAGTTCACTTAAAATATATAAAAATACTTCAGAGGAAATTGAGAAGGAGATAACATTCGATTAGGAGAACATGGCATTCAGAAGCTAATCTAAGCTAGAGACTAAGAATTGTGAAAATATGTATAGACCTTTATTTTTATAAAACTATTTATTCATGAGAAACACAGAGAGGAGAGAGAGAGAGGCAGAGACACAGGCAGAGGGAGAAGCAGGCTCCATGCAGAGAGCCCGACATGGGACTCGATCCCGGGTCTCCATGATCACACCCTGGACTGAAGGCGGCGCTAAACCGCTGAGCCACCCGGGCTGCCCTTTAGAACTGTACAGGACCTTAACAAAATGATCAGTGAGCATCATTATGACTTAATCAGGATATATGATTTGATTCTTTTTTTTTTTAATTTTTTTTTGGTTTGACTCTTAATCCAACAGATCACTCAGGCTCATAACCAAAGAAATTAATATATGCTTGACTAGATAAAGAGTTATTTTAGGTAGCGTTGTATTTATGACATCTACATTCATTCACACATATTCAGTCATCTCAGAAATGTATGTCACAATGATAGGTACTCTTCTGGTTTAGTGAACAACATGACTTAAGTACAGAAATAAGAAACTTAAAAAAACATTAAACTTGTAGCTCCTTCATTCAAACTGCTTTCCAAATAGACAATGCTGACCTTATTCCATGTACCCTGGAGGTAATATAAAAGAGTTATTCTCTGGTGGCCATCACAGAATCAGTATATTTCCCTATTGCCAAGTTTATAATCAAGAAATAATGTAAGAATGAGTCATGCACACAAAAGGCTTGTTATAATCCAAACGCCTAACAAGTTCTAAATTATAAACATTTATCCTACTACTCAGATATTTTAATGTGAGAAATATGCTATTCTAAGTCTATAATATAACCTGAATAAATCCAGTTGTATGTCTCTATTTTGGCATCCTTGTCAGCCCCTATGATAGGTCTTGTCACTGGAAACCATTCATCACAGAGTCATCAGGATGATCTTTAAGAATGTTAGTATGATTATCTCCCTCTTCTGTTTGAATACCTTAAATGGCTTTCCATTGCTCTAAAATAGAGCTCAAAATTCTTACTAAGACCTCCAGGCACTAGCTTCTATGCCCCATTCTAGCTTTATCTCCTTTCCCT